CTACCCCAAAATTATCCAACAGAAATGGGGATAGAAGGTGGACTTGCATATACTTGATGACTGGATGTAACTGTCCACAGCTTGTAGCAATGTCCATGTTAAAACTGAAAGCACTAGAGAAATCCCTAGTAGGTTTCATAAAAGTTTAGCTTTTTTTTTTTGCTTTTTGGGGTAAAAACTGCTTGAAGGGGTACTTAAATTTCCAGGGAAATGGTATATGTTTGAATGTAATTGTCTCCTGTAGCAATGCTTGCATTTTCGCTACTCAAAGAATGCATCTACACATCGCCGTACGTCACTGTAAGGTGCACTATGGCAACATGATCACATGGGTCTACACATGATCACCAGCTATGCCGCCATAGCAGCACACTCCCCCGTTATAGCGGCACACCCAGCAATTATTGTGTGCCACTATGGCAGCATAGAGGCAAAATCTAACCATGTGCATGGCTCAGTAACCACCCATTCTGGGCTGTGCTTTAGTACTTTCAAAAGCAATCACATGAATCTACACATGATCACCAGCTATGTCGCTGTAGCAGTACACTCCCCAGCTGTAGTGATGCACTCCCCAGTTATTGTGTGCCAATGTGGCAATGTAGTGGCAAAATTAACCATGCGCTGCGCACATGGCACAGTAACCACCCATACTGCACCATGCTTTCGTACAGTTATAGCAACGTTGCTATACGGTGATGTGTAGACACACCCAAAAGGAAACACTGCTGCAGCTGTTGTGTTGAGGCCTTCCCTTTGTTTCCAGGTAGGCTTTTAAGGCATGGATGGCATAAATCTTATTGTTCTTTATGAATGAGTTTATATTTTAATTAATTAATTTTTCCATCCTCGATTTGTTATTGCCTGTATTCCTTGCTGTGACTCTGCATTCCATATTCTGTTAGATATTTTTAAAATATTCTGCCAGGTTTTAAATAAAATTTAAAATGATACATTTCTGAATTAGTGTGTTCAATATTGCTATTAATCCGGATGAATTTCCTCTTTTGTTTTTTGATATTTATGTTGACTGGTCTTCCTGCCTTCATTTTTGCCTTCCCTTGAGGCCATGAAAATAAACAAGTCATCTGCACTTTGGTTTTAGTAATGTTTTGGTATCTGGTTCAAGTGAACACAGTGCTGCAAAGTCTGGATTGTAAACATGGTAAGGGAATATTTAAGACCCAACTGTTCATACTAAAATAAATAAATAAGCATGAAATAATTGAATAGTAAGGTCTTAAAACAGCTTTTTGAGAGAACTCTTTATTGTACCAGCAAGCAGTTCCTGACATTATCCTTTATGCAGATTAAATAGGTCTTCAGGGAAAAATGGTAAAATACAAAAAATGTTCCATTTTTTTTGAGAAGGAGATGAAGTAATAATCCTCCCCAGTAACCTTGCTTCTTATTATGCATCCATTTAAACTGCAGGCAGAAGAATATTAGGGGACCAAGAGTAAAATAAAATTGTTGCTCAGTACTATCAAGATGGTATTCTATCTTCTAGTATAATTGTAACTATACCTGCACCTTAATTATAGTCTCAAGCTACAATAAAACCATTAGGTGGTTTTGAAATGATATGGGGACAGAGCTGAAATAACTTCTACACTGTATGATGAAACAGAATTCTAACTGGACCCACTACTTTGGGATAAATCATAATTAATGGATAGGTATTCTGTCTAAGCCAGTGCAATGAAGGAAGAGGTTAATTTTTCAGTGTCTGTTTTAGTCTGAAAATGTTATGAGGCCAGTAAAAATGTTTCAGTTTTTGACAAAATATTGATATAAAGCTTTGATATTGTTGTAGAAAAAGGGAAATAATGGCAAAAAAATTCAAGTATGCATGATATCTGCTATTCTGTCTCTCTTTGCTTTGATTTTTATCAGCAAAAACATTACTGTGTATTTCTTTTGTTTAACATCTTGTGTAAAATGAATAATAAGAAACCACAATAGTATCTTGTAGAATATCATGAATAGCAGATGCCTGATATGGGATGATAGAACAACTATTCAATATTTTTTTTTAAATCTCAAACTGAGAGATGAGCTTCTTGGTCTTGCATTGGGTCCTGAATATCCAATCACAGGAATGAGACCCCAGAAGGCCAGAGAGGGCCATACTAGCTGACCTCTGCATTGGACCAGGATTTTATTTTTCTTATTAAGGGCCTGCTCCAAACTCAGTTGCAGCCAGTGGGAGTTTTGAATCAGGGCCAAATCCTTGCAGATGTCCTTTCTTTAGTTCAAAGCTTGGCTGCCATCCTTTCGGCTTTTATTAACAAAGTCACCAAAGAAACAAAGTAAAGGAAAGGATGTTTTCCTGGGGGTTTACTGTTTCTAATTAAAATGTTTAGTCACCAGAAATGTCCTTATTTTTGTTTCAGATCAAAATTACACCATTGGGTGGGGAACAGGAGGTCTTTTAGGAACACTGTATAAAATCTGAAAAGCAGAGCATGTAATCTTTTGGCCTTTCACTGAGTGTAGCTCTGTGCTGGTATTTTGGACAGCTAGCTCTCTGAGGAACAAACTCAGGAAAGAATGTCAGAGATGATTAGGAATGGCAGGGATGGAAGCATACTTTACTGGAAATGTTGGCTAACCTTACATTATAATTGCTGTACTGAAGCAGTAAACAGCTTCTATCCTTCTGATCTTTCTGGTGAAGAACAAGCAATGGCTACACTTATTTTTCATGTGAATTTTGCAGTGCCTCATACTTTATGGTGTTTATATTGCTAGTTCTGTTGTGTACATTACAATTAATGGAAATTTCTCATTACTGTGTTGGATCATCACAGAAGTATTGACATAATATTTGCGCCTCGGCTTTATGCCTTAGGGATATATGTTCATTTGTTCCCCGGCTTGTTTTTCATGACATATGCTGCTTTCAATGAGCAGTCGGAGTCAGGTTCTGATCTCCAGCACACTGCTGTGTATTGGGAATAGGTCCACTGAAATCAGTAGATTCTTCTAGTTTTACATTAGTGTTACTGAGGTCAGACTTTTCCTCAGTGAATGGGCTAACATCATCTCTAACTTTTGGCAGACAGAATGCTGTAAGTGGAAGACAAATGGATGGCTTCAAACCATTGCCAAAATCTCTTTATTACAGAGATTGAACTCTATAGCAGAGATGTTCAAATTATGACAGAAGGGTAATCAGATTATTATAGGGAAAACAAGAATTCTGTTTCTGTCAGCATCAGTATTTGAGCCATAATGGCAGTTTGAAGAGCACTCTGGAGACACGTGGCTGATTGAATCACAGCTTTATGTTATACTGTTTCTTCTTCCTGGAGGGTAGGGCTAGGATTAAGAGTGAGCTAGACAAGTTGGAGGATTGGGCCAAAAGGAATCTCATGCAGTTCAACAAGGACAAGTGCAAAGTCCTGCACTTAGGACAGAACAAATCCATTGATCAGTACAGACTGGGGGCTGACTGGCTGGGCAGCAGCTCTGCAGAAAAGGACCTGGGGGTTACAGTGGACAATGAATTGAACATGAACCAGCAGTGTGCCCTTGTCACAAAGAAGGCTAACAGCATACCGGACTGCATTGGCATGCGTGTTGCCAGTAGGTCAAGAGGAACAATTATTTCCCTCTATTCAGTGCTGGAGAGGGAACATCTGAGTACTGTATTCAGTTTTGGGTCCCCCCATTATGGAAAGCATGTGGAGATATTGGAGAGTGTCTTGTGGAGGGAAACAACAATGGTGCAGGGGTGGGGGACATGACTTTTGAGGGAACTGGACTTATTTAGTCTAGAGAAGAGGAGACCGAGAGGGGACTTAATAGCAGCCTTCAACTCCCTGAAAGGGGGTTCAAAAGAGGATGAAGCTAGACTGTTCTCAGTGGTGGCAGATGACAGAACAAGGAGCAATGGTCTCAAATTGCAGCAAGGGAGGTTTAAGTTAAATATTAGGAAGAATTTTCTTACTAGGCAGGTAGTAAAACACTGGACCAGGTTATTCAGAGAGATGGTGGAATCTCCATCCTTGGAGGTTTTCAAGACCCAGCTAGACAAAACTTTGGCTGGGATGATCTTGTTGGGGCTGGTCCTGCTTTGCACAGGGGATTGGACTAGATGACCTCCTGAGGTCCCTTCCAGCCCTGACTGTCTATGATTCTAAGGCATAGGAATGGTTAGGTCCTCACAGCAATTTCCTTTGGGGAGGAGGGAAGATTTCAAGTAACCCAAAAGTGGGTGGTCAGTTGGAAAGACTAATAATGTCTCCTTAGTTCATGCTTGGGGCCATAACATGGAAACATATTGGAGGAGCCATACTGTAAAATATCTACATATTTTTCCCCACCTCTTTGTTTTTAAGGGTTGTTTATTTTGTTACCTTTTTCATTCTACGTAGTGATAACTGCTCTATAATTTTACTAAAAGTGAATGTTTTAACTGAGGTCAGAATTTACCTGGATGAATTTGCCTTTTTCCTTAGAGCTTAAAGCACTGTGATTGAAGCACATAGATAAGACCATACCTGGGAGGGAGAGGAGCTATGGGCTAGTCTTTTTGGTCTGTGTTTGTTCATCATCTAGCACAACAGGGTACTGATTCATGACCAGGGCTCCTAGATGCTGGGCAATACACATCATTAGCTGCAATAAGAGAACTGCATAGTCCATGAGACTTGATGGTTCAAATAGTGTTTTAAGTAGTGAAGATTAGTTTTTTTCTTTTAGTACAGTAAAATGAAAGACCATATTTGATATCAGCTTGGTATACAGTACATTCTCTAAAGGACTACAGTATGTCCTTTGGGCTTGATAATCAAGCCAATGTTTTTCATAGTTGGCTACTTTGATGTACGCCAACTAATAATAGCTATTACAGAAATAAAAGTCTGAATTAGTTTTGCAAATGAGTCCTAGCTCCTATAAAACTGGTGGTGATTTTTGAAATGCAAGCAAGACTTATGTTTCACCATGAAAAAAAGAACAATGGAAAAAATATATGCGTGAGGTAAGGATTTTTGTGGGTGATGCCTTTTATTGAACTAACTACATTGTTGGGATAAAGTTAGAAATGCTTTCAAACGCAAGGCATCAGGTCTGAGGGAAGAAGCAGACACAGCAATGATTAAAAACAGTGGAAGAAATTAGGCCTGTCTGTCTTATCCTTGTTTTATGTGATAAAACTGAACTGAGTGAGCTTCACTGAATTAGTGCTGCTTCACATTTATGTACAGAATATTTTCAACTGTTGAACTAAATAATAGATGGTTAAAATCCAGTATAAATAACTGGATTATTACAAAATAACACCTATATATTCACAGTTTAAATTGGAGCTATTTACAAAGCAGATTAACCAGCATTTAAAATATAACATACATTCTGTGGAGAAAGTTGCTAAGATGTTTGTGTGCATCTCTGTACAAGGAAAGAAATATCATCATCTTTTGTGGTGTTCTGGTAGATGTCTTGTGAAAAGTACTGACTGAACATGGAAAACAAAGCAACAGATGGCACAACCTTATAATAGGTCAGTAAACTCTTAAAGTGCAAAACTGCCAGTCCTGAAATTGAAAACAGGTGGCAAAAAATTCACTTGGAGACTTGGCATTTGTATGTAATCAGTTACTTTAAGTGTCTTGGTCAGACACATATTGGTTTCACTGCTGATTGCAATTTAGCAACTAAAGGAACCAACACTTGTATTTAATTAGAATACTATAGTTATAACTGATCACCTTTTTATATTACTTTCTTTCTATTTTTTCCTAGGATAGACCCTGGTTTAACAACCTTTTTTTTTTTTTGGTTGAGTTGTGTTTCACAATGTCTTTTATTATACCAGTAGTAATATGGTTTGCAGTAGTATTTGTGGCAAATAGTTTCTTTCTCAGAGTAGTTAAGTCAGGGGTGGGCAAATTATTTGGGCTC